ATATATATATATATATATATATATATATATATATATATATATATTTATATATAATTATATATATATATATATATATATATATATATATATATATATATATATATATATATATATATATATATATATATATATATATATATATATAATATATTTTCATGTCAGGTCAGGTTTATCCTGCTACTGGTAACATGTAACCCAGTACAATCTGCTTCATGTCCTGCTGCCTTGTAGGATATGCCTTTTTAGGCAAAGGCTAGGAGATGCAAACTCCAACATAAAACACCTCCTGCCTTGGGGCTCTTGGTTGAGTAACGGCTAGAGATGGTGTCTCGATAAAAATACTCATCTTAGGCAGATGTTACATGCATCCCGCTGCTGTCTTGTAGAAGGCCTCCTAGGCAAATACTTAAGGGGTAAACAGATTCTATCTGTTGACCAGCCTCGCACCCCTTCTTCATCTATTAGGCTGACGCAGATGTATTTTTAATACATTGTTTCCAGTTTAGGATGTTGAACGCTGGATCTTGTTGACTCGATTCATGGGTTTTGCTTGTGTCTCTGTTTTTATGACTAGGCAACTCATTCTATTATCTCCAAATGAAGGTACAGCTCTAAAACTCAGTTTTATGGTTCTGAGGTCGGCTGGTAGGTTTCCCGAACTCTGTGGTAGCTCTCAGAGAGGCTGATTCCATCAACAGCTGAAAAATATCAGAGTACTAACAGTGCAATGTTGCGCATGGATGGTGTCCCTGTTTGTACTTTTGGTGTGCATTGGAGCCCTTTGTTACGGCTTAGGGTTTGCTAGTGGAAATGAGGCAATTGCTTGAGCTATAAAACAGTGTACTGAGTACTACCTATGTTTCGAGTCAAGTTCTTTAACAAATTTAAAAATGAATAAAGTAACAAAAACTATAAAACACAAAAAACCACAGTCATCACTAAGTTCGCTAAACCTATCATTCACCAATATTTGTGGTCTTCGAAGTAACTTTTCTTCTTTTGAGTCTTATCTCTTGCAAAGTTCATCAGACCTACTTGCTCTTTGTGAGACTAATTTAAGTTCAGCTGTCTCATCTTGTGATCTTAGTGTTGATGGTTATCTTCCTTAAAATTTGTAAAGACTCCAATAGTAACATACTTGGCCTAGGCATTTACATTCGTAAGAATTCACCCATTTGTCGGGAAACTAGGTTGAATCCACAGACTACTCTTTTATGTGCTTTCGTTTAGCACCACTTCACTCTATCACCTTTTTGTTTTTGTTCTATATTGCTCTCCTTCATCTCAAGACTGCACTCTTCTTAATGTTATTTCTGATTATATTGACCAAGCCCTCATTCTTTATCGATCAGCCAATATTGTTGTTGTCGGTTTTATCCATCAGCCAATATTGTTGTTGTCAGAGTCACTGACACTAGAGCCAAGCCATTCAGTGTGATGAACTTTAATGTTCATCACACTGAATGGCTTGGCTCTAGTGTCAGTGACTCTGCAGGCATTAAGGCCCACAACTTTTGTCTTTCTCAATCCCTAACTCAAATAGTCAACTTTCCAACTAGCTTTCCAGACAACCCGAATCATTTACCTTAACTACCGTCCTATTAGTCTTCTTCCTATCATAAGCAAGGTTTTTGGATATTTAATTAACAAACACTTAATCTCTTATCTTGAATCTCATAACCTACTTTCTGATCATCAATATGGACTTCGATCTTCTCGTTCTACGGCTGATTTGCTATCAGTAATAACCGATAGGTTTTATCGCGCATTAGATAAAGGTGGAGAGGTTAAGGCCATCATCGCTCTTGACATTTCTAAAGCGTTTGATAAAGTTTGGCATGCTGGTTTTCTCCATAAGCTTTCTTCTTACGGTGTATCTGAAAACATCTTTAAGATTATTGAATCCTTTCTTTCCAATTGTAGTATAAAAGTTGTCCTTGATGGACAGCAATCTTCTTCTTATTCTGTAACCTCAGGGGTTCCCCAAGGTTCAATCCTTGGCCCTATACTCTTTTTAATTTACATTAGCGATCTTCCAGATATTCTCACATCTAAGGTGGCATTGTTTGCTGATGATACTACCATTTATTCTTGTCACGATAAGAAGCCAACTCCCTCTGATTGCTTGCAGGGGACATCTGAGCTTGAAAAGGATCTCACTTCTGCTACAGCATGGGGCTCACAGTGGCTGGTGAACTTTAATTCAGATAAAACTCAATTTTTTTCGGCCAATCGTTATCGCAATGATTTAGACCTTCCTATAATTATGAACGGTAATGTTCTCGATGAGTCTCCTACCCTTCATCTTCTAGGATTAACTCTTACTTCTGATCTTTCTTGGAAACCTTACATCAAATCCGTTGCAAAATTAGCATCTGCTAAAGTTGCTTCTCTTTATCGAGCTCGTCACTTTCTTACTCTGGATTCTATTCTCTATCTCTATAAATCTCAAATCCGGCCTTATATGGAATACTGTTGCCATATCTGGAGCGGATCTTCT